ATAACTAGACTAACCTAATCAAAGCTAACTTTTCTTGTAAATTTGTCTAATAAGGTCAACATAATATCATAATAGACGTACTATCATGGAAAGACTCATCCTACTAACCAAGCTAACTAAGCAAGGATACAACCATCCTAACCAACATGCAATCAATCATTTAGATGCAAGCTAATCATAGGGGATCATGAATCATCAACCCTAAGCTATCATGAGATACTCAAGCTATTACACGAAATGCATTTTCCTAAAAATCAAGCTACTATGAAATGAATCTTGCATGCAAGTCAAGCTAACATTAGGAGAGTTTAGGTCTTTCCACTAAAGCTACCTTGAAATGATTCTGGACTAACCATGTCAAGATAAGATGATTAAGTATCCTTACAACACAATACCAAACTAATCATGGGAGAGTGATTCCTCCATCCCAAGTTAACATGAGAACCACCATTCCCAAGCTACTCTGATCAAGCATCCTTGCAACACATGACCAAGCTAAACATGAGAGAGTTCGATTCCTCCATCCCAAGATACCGTGAAATTCATCACCTCAAGCTACCATGAAGTTCATCACCTCAAGCTATCATGATTAATTCAACTCAAGTTTCATGAGATTTCAACATCTCAAGATACCATGAGTATTTCAACTCAAGCCTCTTTGAGATTTACTATCCCAACCTACCATTGAAACCTACCATATAAAACTATCATGAGATTCACATATCAAGCAATCATGCATTGGTTTTGTCTCACCAAGTCTATTACACAAAAAATGATCATACAATCAATATTCAAGCTAACCTAATTCATCATGTCTTGATTCATTTTAGATTCTTAGGCGAACCTAGAATTCATCTATGTGAGAGAACTTGCTTCCCCTATCATTCTCATATCTAGGGGTATACGAATACCTCATCATAATCTCTTCATAATGACTTTACTCTCAAATCATGAGCATCAATGTCATAACATCCGGTAATTGATTATTACCTTCAATTCATTATGATCTATGTTTAATTTCATGCTTAATTCATTCAATTGGATCATTAGAAGGTAAGTCTAGGCATATAAGATCACATAGGTTCAATAATAGGTTTACAATATAAGACAATCCTAGTTCAATTAGGCCTAGTTCCATTCATATCTAGGTAATTCAATCATGATCAATTAACACATAATACAATAGAATTAAAAATATCAACTTAAAACCCTCATCTTCCCTAAAATCACCATGATAATCTTCAACATAAATTACTAGAATTCACCATTAAAACATCATGAAAACATTACATAATAATCATATGAACATAATTGAATGCTACCCACTAAATTGGGATCACCATCAAGCCTTAACCACAATGCAATCATAAACCTCTCTAGATTAGGGTTCTTTCAATTCACAATTGAGGAATAGCTTAGTGTTTACTTCAGTACTTAATTTTTACTTTTAGGAACGTCTTTCCTTAACCGACATAGACTACATGAGCTAATGTGGAATCCGGTGTCGTGAAATTCTACACCGGAAGAAGGCAGACTACTTGCCAAGGTATTAACAAAACATGAACATAGAATCTATGTGGATCCACTAGCTAGTATTCCAATGGGGTCAACAAAGTTCAAGAACTAGGAGATGTAGTTGGGACCCTCTTTATGATAAATGCATTATATTCTCTAATATGATAAATACAATAGAGAACCTACCTTCACTATGTGGGAAGGGAACACTCCTCACTACTAGTTCACTCGGTGCTAAGCTAGAGTCCCTTTTTAAATGTCTTTATTTATCATTTACAACTTAGTTTAGGTCGTAGGGTCTAATCCCTTTTATAGTCATAGTCATTTACCTCAATAGGAATTGCATGAGAATACCCTTCAAAGCAACCCTCATATTTGAGATTAGAATTTCATCATCGTCATGTCATAATAAGGCACATAGGTAGTTCATAACTAACCTTATGTAATTTCACCTTAAGCATGATCTCACAATCATATAGTCAAGACATTTCAATTCAACATCATACCAACACCTACTCAGGCCATTCACAAGACATACTTCAAATGAACTACATAATCAATCACAAGCCATCATAATTAAACTAAAGGTTAGGATCATGAAGCCTTACCAAATCTACTTCAAAAGTCATCAACATGGTTTTACCATCAACCAACCATTTAAATCTAATAATAGGTGTAGTTACATCAATCAATAGTATTTAACACAAGAATCTAGGTCAATTACATCATCACTATCCCAATTAACATCAATTTATAACTTGGGGTTAGGGGAGAACGGTCAACATGAATTCTTCAAGAATTATATCAAATATCACAAACACATTACCCTATTTAATGCATAAATGCATTAGAATAGATAAAACCAATCTATCAATCAATACAATCTTCAATTCCCATCAATTCATCACCAAGATCCAAGATTTGGGGAATTTGTGGAAAGGGACACAATCTATATGAAATTCCATCAATTAAAATCAATTAAACAACAATCTACACTTAACTATTCAAAGGCAATCATAATTCATCATCAATTTGAAGTTTAGAAGAAAACCCATTAGAATTGTTAAACCCTATGGAATTGGGTATTTTAGAAATCAACTTTGAAAGGACCTCTTGAGAAAAGGAATCCAAAGAGTAAAGAGCTCATACCTTAAAGAAAATTAATCCACGAAATCGAAACGATACCCTAGAGAAATTGACCTTCTTGTTCAAGCTTTCTTCCTTCTTCAATAGTTGAATTAGGGGGAGAGAGTAGAGAGAGATGAGAGCTTTTGGATTTTATTTTGGGAATTAGGTTTAGGTGAGTGAAAAATGACTTAAAATGATATTTATGATATATATAATCACCGCCTAGATTATCCAAAATACCCCTCACTTGAATCGGTCATTTTGTGAAGTCAATTCCAAAAACACGATTTTATTGAATCTGGAAAATAGCTCTGCGTCGCGAGGCTAGTGCCTATTTTTATTTTTGAAAAAGTGATCTGTGGCAGTAGCGTTTGTGTGGTCTGCACTTCGAGCAACAGCCTCTTGAATCTTGATTCACGCCGGCTGCTTTGGCAGCCTGCCCACCCATGTTTGGGTCCTCCTGAAGGACCCTTCGAGTGGTCCTTGGGGCGACGTTATTGGACGTTTAGACCCTATAGACCACACTCTACCTAACCAAAGTATTTTTACAAGTGTTAGACTTCATTTGACCCTTCCAAACTTTACCAAACATAGCAACGTCAACTAGTTCAATTTAGCTACTTTTCGAATATCATGGACGTTTTTTAACGTCTTGGCTCTAAAACTTTCCAGATGACTTATTAACATTATTTTAGGTCTTAAAACAGTATAACCAACATGAAATCAACTTGTGAGGATTTAGATTAGGTCTTGACTTTTCGAAGTGTTACAGAAGGTTGCTAAATCATCAAACTCTTTTACCAAACAAAACAAATAAATATTCTTCATCTTAATCAAGGCTCTATATCAGTTGTGAAGCTAGGTATATTGTTAAGGATGTCCTAATTTTTTGTATATATCGCTATGATATTTTGATTTATATACAAAATATGATTTTGTACGTTCACAATATAATATTTTGATGAAGTATGTTTGAGTGACCACCATGTGGTTAACATAGCAACATCCCTACTGTGTATGATAAAATTGATGAGGTTGCTTCGTAGTCAATTTGGGATAGCTATTTAACAGAAATTAGAGGAAATTTTAGATGAATTAAATTGACCGGGTTAAAATGGTTTGGTTAATTATATTCAATTAATCAAACTTATACTACTCAATTACTCATCATAGCTATAATTTGATATAATTACCACTTGCGACTAACATTATACATTAATTACATGGGTTAACTTCGAGTCTCTATAGTTAGCAAGTTTTTATACGCATAATTCGCCAAAATATACAAATATATATATATATATATATATATATATGTATGTATGTATAATTTATAATAATCTAATCAATATACCTATACAATTCACCTTTCTCCCACTCTCTCCTCCCTCTCAATCTCGCTCCCGTCTCTCCTCCTCTCCTAATCTTGCTTGCCATATATACAAATGCATATATAACATACAATTATCTAACCTCTATACATATACAATTCACGTCTCTCCCACTCTCTGACCTCTTGTTTGCCTCTCTCCTCCCTCTCCCAATATCGCTTGCCTCTCTCGTTCCCTCTCTCAATCTCTCTTTCCATATATAGAAATAAATATGTATAATATACAATAATCTAACTAATACACATATACAATTCTCCTCTTTCCCACTCTTTGCCCTCTCTCCTCTCTCTCTCTAGTCTCGTTTGCCTCTCTCCTCCCTATAACATGTAGCTATGAATTGTATTTATCGAACTATAGTTATGTAGAGTAATTAGGTTATTTTTTTAGTTGCTATATGTGAAAGTTCCTCATGAATGTATGAGTGATTACATTGACCTATTCAAACTTAAATGATAAGGTGATTTCATGGGCTAGTGTTATCATTCTTATATATTTGAGTGACATTATCCTAAAAATTAGATTCTTTCATTCTTTTACACAGGATAGTAATTTAAATGAGAGAAAATATTTTTAGTAGATATGACAATTCTTGTAAATTTCTGCACCCATGTTACTTAAGACAAAGATCAAAAATATGCTCCAAATCTATGTTTCATTAAATTAGAACTTTTTGTACCTATATTGGATTTTTTTTAAAAAAAACTCTTTCTATACATTTGTGAGATTTTCCTTGACACAAATGTCTTGGCGCAAAATCTGAAGGTTAACTGCAATATTATCAATTAACACAACTTTTTTTGGGGGTGTGGGGAAATAAGGGGAAGGTAATCCGTACAATAGATGAGGGGCAGAAAGTGCTCAACCAACTGAGCAATGCTCAAACTCTATTATCTTTATTTTAATTAAATACAAGTAGTTGTATAAAGACCCTTGTCTTATAATGAAATGTAGAATTGACACAACATAAACATTGTACAATTAAAAATTAATTGCTTTTCAATATATTTGGACAGGGTTATTCCAATACAATTGACAATACCTAAAAAAAAAACAATAACCTTTTGAGAATCTTGATCTTCACATTTTTTTATAGGTAATACCTAGAAAGGGTCAAATGTTTATCCTTTCTCCTTTTTGCCGATAAACCTTCTTAATATAACTACCTAGGCCCTCCTTACTTTCTGTTTCCTTCAGTGTTTTTTTTTTCTTTTCAAGATTAGATATAAAAACATGACAAACAAATGGCAAGTGTAAAAATACAAGTGATGAAATTGTATAAAAATACAATATGGCCTTCTAAACTCTTAATCAGAAGAAGAGAAAACAAATAGGAAAGAAAAAATCATTCATGAGCACTAAACATTCAATCATCACTAACATCATGGTAGTTACTCACTAAACAATAAGCTTAGATCCTGCATAATAAATATCAAGGTTTCTTGTTAAATAATTATACAATCAAAATCACAACATACATCATAAAAAAGAAAGAGTATTGGACAAGTGCCTAATTAAAGAAAATAAATTCACACAAAAGCGTGGAGTGACTTCAACTGTCATTTTACCTAAACTTTGGTTGACAAAGTTACCCATTATATTGCCACTAAGAGCCACTAAAAGTATCTACCAAAGTAATCGAGGTATACATCAATAGCACTTGTACTGAAAAAGAAAACGACTGATGAGAAAAAAAAAGATAAATTCTCACAAAAGCGTGGCACGACTTCAACACACATCTACCTAAATTTTGTTTGACAAAGTTACCCATGATATTGCCACTAAGAGCTGCTGAAGGTACCTACCAAAATAATCGAGATATACACCAATAGTAGCACTTGTGGTGAAAAAGAAAAGAAATGATGAGAAAAAGAAGATAGATTCACACAAAAGCACGGAGTGACTTTTATTGTGTCATCTACTTAAATTTTGATTGATAGAGTCACCTACTACAACTAAAAGGTAAAGGTGCGTAGATACCTAAATAGTTGAGGTGTACACCAGTAGCACTTGTGGTGAAAAACAAAAACAAATGATGAGAAAAAGAGGATAAATTCACTCAAAAGTGCAGAGTGACTCCTATTATCATGTGTCGAAATCTTTGTTGAAATAGTTACCAGTGTCACTAGGAGGTCAAATAGTTGAGGTTGATACCAATAGAAATTGTGTTGACAAAATTGAAGAAGAAAGCTAATTACCAGAATGGTGTTGATGAAGAGAAGAGGAAGGTTGATCTCTTTGATGATTTTCCATGCACTTCATGAGAAACTTGAAGGTCTGAGTCTTACAAGGTATAGTGACTCCACCAGTATGATCAAACCCAAACTCTTCCTCAACTTTTTCCAGCAATAATTTAAACAATGGATCACTAAGATAACTTGTGGGAATTATAAACCTCCGAAGCTCCGGTCCAACATAAACAGCCAAATAGCCTCTCGGGACACCATGGGGTGGCTCTGGACTTTGACAACTCTCTTCATCTGAATCACAATATATATTGTAATTCCTCAACCTCATACTAATCGAAGGTGATATTCCTCTAGGGGAAATGCTACCGTGTTTCAACGATGATCCAAGATTATTATTATTATTGTTGTTGTTGTTGCAATTGTTACCATTTCCCTTAGGACCAAGTGTAACATGTTGCCATTTACTTAGAAATTCTTTTAGTCTTACAATCTGCTTGATGCCTCTCACCTTGCTTCCTCCATGTTCATCCATTTTCCTTTGATTACCGCGACATGATTGATTATGAGATGAAAATCCAGCTGACATTGATTCTAAGCCCTTAGGCTGTTGGAATATTTCACTCATTTGATGTTTTTTTAGCTGCACAAAGATGCCATGACTTAAACTTTTATTTCCAATTGAATTTTGAAAGTAAATAAAGGTATATAACAATAATAATTATGTCTCAAGTTTAAAGAATTAAATCCTTGTATATACATTTAACTATCTAAATCTCTATATGAGAGAATGATTGTGTTTTAAACATTGTTCCTCAACTATGATTATATTAATATATTCATTTAGGTTAATGTAAAAAGAATGAGGGACTAATATGAATTTTTAGATTGATTTTTTAGAAATTACATAAAAACATTGTAAAGCATAATTGGTTATAAGTAAAATTGAAAATCCATGGTAAAAATACAACGCATTGAACAATAAGCGTAATCTGAATTACAAATTTAAATTCCAAAACGATATTAAAAAAACATATATTCATCTTTTTGAATTACCAGAACAGGGTGATCAGAATTATTTACTGTTCAGATGGAAAATATGAATGGAGGAACGAGGAGACGGAGATTTCAGCAATCAAGAAACGTCATTGTATGACTCATGAAGAAATGAAAATATCAACCAGCCCCAGAGGAGGAGGGTGGAAGAGTTAGGCTATAATTCTTTAAATTATTCAGAATTCTATTAATGGAGTAACAATTTTGAATACAAAATGATATTAGTAAGTAACAACTTCAATCACTATGTTACCCTCTTTTGTCGCAATAATTTTCTCTTTAACCAATTGGTAAAACCATTATTTCGTGTGAACATTAGTTGCAAGTTGCAACTAATTTTATTTTTTATATATAATTTATATTTAATGAGTTTATTTGTTTTGTATATTTGGCTAGCCATCTCCTATAAATATAACAAAGTGTTTTTATTTAGCATTTTAATATTAATATCAATAATATTAAGATTGCTTCACAACTGCAAGTGTGTGCTAGACGGACTGTTGCAGGCATTTGTGGGCTTTCTCTTTTGTTGGCTTTAAAGTTTAGTGGCTTTTACTTTGTTTATATGGTTTTTAATTAGCTATTGTTTTTATAATGTATCGTATTGAGGTGTTTTAATGATTACTATGTTTGGATAGATTGTATCATTCTTCGTTATTACATAATATCACATATTTATAATTTGAGTGATACATCTACAAGAGAAATTTCTTAAGGGGTAGAGCTATTATGAGAGAATAGGATAAAAGATGAAATATGATTATTAAATAATAAATAAAAGATAACATGAGCCGAAAATGTTAAGATAATGACACAATCACACCAAATCGGTGGTTAGACCGAGTCGTTTCGTCGTTACCTAATGATGGATTTAAATAATACGATACAATAGAAATTAAGTAAAAATCAAAATAAACACTATATTTAAACTAAAAATACGATATAATACAACGTATAACAATCATCTAAACAAAGTGTTAATTGACATTATACACGAATAAACATTCCAAAGAATGTTGGGGTCAACAATCGTGGGCAACATCTTTATTAGCCATTGAACCCATTTGTTACCTCTCACTTTGTTTTATTTTTTATTCCTCAATTATACCTTCCAACATATATAACCTCTAAATCATTTTTCTCTCTTTTTACTATCACATTATCTTCTTATTCATTGTTAAGAAGAATTCCTGAACTATAAATAGTGGTGATCGTCATTTCTTTTTTGTACAAGAAAAATATAGAATGCATAAAGTTAGTGGAAAAGAGAGTTTGTATTCTTTGGATCTTTGGACTCAACTCTTCTCCAGAGTTTGTTGAGTTATACTTTATGATAGAGTTGTTTTATCCTGGATGGGACAAGTCAAAAACACTACTGCTCGACCGATGAAAATATTTGTTGTAGTTGACTTGAATCTCCTTAATGAGCAGGAGATGTTCACACCTTATACTAAAGAGATTTTATGTAATGACCTCGAAGTAATTTTTTTATTTATGTCTTTTGTTCATCTTTAGTGCTTTTCTAGAGAAACCCCAAGTCATTTATGACTTGTTGGGACTGATAGTTCAGTCACTTGGACATTCATTTAGTTTTTGTTTGAGTTTCAGTGTTTTGGAGCTTTACAACCTTGAATAGTTGGTTTTCATCAAAATTTCCAGAAGACAGCCTAAAAATCCCATTTTGTTGATCCCATAAGTTCTGTAAGGGTTATTTTAGGCTAGTAGAATGGTAGATATAATTAATTTCCAAGCTTTTAGTGTGAATCTGTGTGATTAGGCACCTTAACAATCAAGTTAACGCCTAAGTTTGACTTTATTCATTATTTTGAGTAAAAGAGATCATATGACAATTCTGTCAGCGCAACGTAGTTAACTGCAGAATGGTGTATTTGGTATCAAACGACCCTTTGTTTAGAAACCAAGGCTTTCGAGCTGCTTCGGAGCCCACTTATGTATTTTGACTATAGAGTTTGGGTGTCAGACCCACTTTTTGCTTAGATGATCTCGTATGCGAATTTTAACTCTTCGGTTGAGTCCGAACTATCAAATTTGATAGGTTTCCTATCTAGTTTGCATGCACGGGAGTTCGAATGAATATTGGGCGCTGCATCGGAGAATCTGGAATTTAACAACCAGAAGAAGTGCTAATATCTTATGTAGGTTTTTAGTGACCATAAATAAGAGTTTTGCGACCAGAATTGGACGTTTAGCGACAAGATCTCGGCGATTTATATATAAAAAAAGAAATTGTTGCCTCATTTCTTATTTTTCAAAATGTGATCTCTCCCTCATCTGATATTTTTCAAAAGGTGATCTCTCCCTCATCTGATCTCTGATTTGAGGGATAAGATGTCTTGAGTAATCGTTTGAAGTGTGGATACATGGGGAAGTCATTGGGAGCACTACGAGAAAACATGCCTATTGCAACACAAGAATAATTATTATCATAGACTCAAAGAGTGTTTCAATTGACTTATGGCAACGGAAACTGGCGTGTTGCATATAAGGTTGTTGTGATATATCTATAGTAACAATTTACTAGAAACATTTGAAGGTCGTTGTGACAGACAATCTATAGCAACAATTATTCTTTAGTCTAGGATGACACTTTTGTGCAGCTGTTGCAACAGTTGCAAAACCGCTGCAAAATATTTCATAGCAACGGTGAAAAGCTGTTGTCACACTCTGTCTACAACAACAATTATTTTTTAGTTTAGGATGACACTTTCTGCGGTTGTTGCAACAATTGTGAACCGTTGCAAAAGGTTTTATAGCAACAATTGTGAACTACTGCAACACACAATATATAGCAGCAATTATTCTTTAGTCTAGGATGACACTTTTCTGTAGTTTCTGCAACAGTTGCAAATCATTAAAAATGACCTATCACAACAACTTTATTATACAACTCGACCTAAGAAATTACAACGGTTATTCTTAACTATTGCAACAATGTTATTAAGCTATTGCAATGGACCTTTTTAATGGTTATTGCACGATATTATAGCCATTTTTGAAATAAACTATAATACGATGATAGAACACATTAAACCAATATGTATATCAACTTGTAGCATTCATATATTATAGATTAAAACATATGATCTTGATTTACAAATCAAGAGTTAATGTACATTGATGTTCACAAAAATTAAGCCCAAACATAAAAATAGTCTTTAAATGTTTAAGAGTTGACATTCATTCAACTCCACAAACTTAGGCCCCGAAGTAAAAAGTAGTGCTAGAATGTTCAAGAGTTGACATTCATTTAAGTTAACAAAATTAGGACAAAAAGTAAAATAGTGCTAGAATGTTTGTAGAAACCAATTCTTTTATGTAAGGTCTTTGCTGCTTTCATTTGCCACTTTGCTCATTATTTTGTTCACCTACAATTTCAAAAGGGTCAACAATTAGGAAAGAAGAAGTTCAAAAAGAATAGGTAAAAGAAGACACACAATTCCTAATTTTTTTCTCTTTCTATCCATGATGAAAATAACTCTGAGGAAACCAAGACTAACATAGAGGTAGAAGCTCTAACTGTTCATGAGGAGGAGCCAAACCTATCAGGAAACAACTCGAAAAATATAGCTATAAAAGTGTGCCGGGATGGGGACAGTTTAGCAGACAACAAACACATACAAGAATTAGCACCATGTGAAGAAGCTGATCGGGAAGAACTAAGTAAGGAACAAATAAGTTAGCTAACTACACTACAAGCATTGCACTTGAACAAGATAACTCAATCCACTACCACAATTTTCAAACTCTCCCCACCAAAGGATGGAAGACATTGAATTCCAATTAATCACAAACTACAATCCTTAGAATCAGAAGCAGAAAGATTACATAATCATAAACATGATATTTGTTGATAAAAATATAACAGTTAAACAGAATAGAAAAAGCAACAAATAGGGGCTACATCAAGATTAAATACAACAAGAACATATACATAAGGAAAAATTTATGAATCACAAAGGAAAATGATGATCTCAGTTACTAAAAACCAACAACACCTGAACTATGCAAACAACAATAACACTAATCTCAATAATATCAACTTCGATAAAAATGAAAGGATCATCGCAGTTGCACCAACAATAATTCAAGAATATTGCAAGTGTAGTAGGACAAGAAAAAGAAGTAGAAGCATATTAACATAACAATCGATAGATGAAGATGAACCAAACAAGAAACTACAAAAGCAGTAGTAGAAGAAAATGAAGAAGGAGGGAGATTCTGACCTTGATTGTTGCTACAGGTATATGAACGATAGACTGATTGAATTTTTGTTTTTTGTGTTGATGAAATATCAAGTAATATTGCTAGAACATTAGCATCAATTTGTAGGCTCGAACGCTAAAGTTTTGTTATGACATCTTCTACAATTTCTTGTCGCATCGTGGTCTTTTGTGGGTCATATTGTTCTTTATGTTCCTCTCATCATTATCTCTTCCATCTTTTTCACGAGGTAATTTGTTTCATTTGACAAGGTTTCAAAATTTTCCACTTTCCCTTTCATAGTAGTTTTTGTAACCTCTCTTCCATATAATATCAAATGTCTTAGATGTTTCTATCCTATGACAAAAGAAAATGCATCAATTGTCTCATTTCTATATTCTTTTTGTTGCATTTCAATATTCTCCATCTCAACCTATAATGCAGTTCTATTATTGAAAAAAACAACAGAATTCAAGTACACACATAAAGAGTTAAATATGAAAAACAAATTCAAATCAATCAAAATAAAAATTAGATAGAAATATCACAATTTTACTAGTTGTATATTCATATGTATCCTTGTATGATTGATTGGGCTTTATTTTTCTTGTAGCCACAAAAAATTCCTTTGCTGGTGAGTATCACTAGTTTTCCTCTCGTTTTCCTATAGACATTAAAAGTGGATATCAAATATCTTCTTTAAAATGTGATAACTTTTTATTAAATGCTACGCAAGAGCTAATACCAAATCATTGCGAACTAAAGAAAAGCTTTTCTTGCAAACAGTATGTGGTTTCTTCAATTTTTTCCGATTCTCACAATTGATTTTTTACATTTTCTGAAAATAGAAGAGAAGTTCCACAATGATCAAGTGATTTTTTATAGAAGAGGAAAGTTTCTATCCAGTGACTCATAAAACAAACAAGAGCTTAGTGGCTCCCAAAAAAGAAGAGAGAATAAACAGTATCAGTGATCA